TCTCTCTCCCTGTTCTCTTCTCTCCTCTCCCTCTCCTGTCTTCTCTCCCTTGTCTTCTCTTTCTCCCTCTCTCTCTTCTCTCTCATCTCCTCATGTCTCTTCGCTCTCCTTCCCTGTCTCTCTCTTCTCCTCCTCTCTCTGCGTGTTCTCTCTCTCCTCTGTCTTGTCTCCCGCTTTCTCTCTCTGTCGTCTCCCCTTTGTCTTCTCTCTCCCCTCTCTCGTTGTCTTCTCTCTCTGTCTCTCTCTCTCCCTCCTCTCTCCCCCCTCTCTCTTGTCTTGCCCGGTGTGTGGGGGTGTGTGTGGTCTGTGCTTTGTGTCGCTCCCCTGTCTCGTCAGCTTTTGTTGTTGTGTTTTGTTGTGTGGGTCTGTTGCGCGTTGTCCGGTGGTGGGTGTGCAGTTCGTGCGCCTCTCCCAGTCTGGGCGCGTCCGTGGGGTTGTGTCTCTCCTCTCTCTCTCGTCTCTCGTCTCTTCCTGTCCTCTCTCCCCTCTCTCTGTTTCTCTCTCTGTCTCTCTCTCTCTCCTTCCCTCTCTCTCTCCCTGTCTCTTCTGTCTCTCTCATATTTTTTGTTTGTCTGTTGTATTTCATGTTTGTGTGTTTTTTTTGGGTGGCGTGGCTGTGTGCGCCCTGGGCTGCGGGGAAGGCCCAGTGGACCAGGAGCAGTGTGCAGAGAGGGGGGCAGGCAGGGGGCGTGGGGGCGGGGCAGGCAGGGAGGGGATGTGGTAGGTGTGGTAGGCGGGTGCTGGCGCCCGGCCCGGGTCGCCCCGACCTCGGTCGCAGGCGCCGCGGGGTTCAGGCACTCGGGGGTGGCGCCGACAGTGGATTTGGCCGTATCCTGGTGGAAGGTATGATGAGGTCCACCAGCAGCTCGCCGCACACGCTGCACACGAAGCAGGGCGGGTGCCAGCAGACGCGTGTGGCCCGTCGGCCGGCGCGGACAGCGGGAGACGCCGGCGAGGCGTCCCCTCCGCTGGAGTCTGCGGGGGCGCGCCGCGCACTGCGAGCAGCGAGCAGAGAGAACAGGGCGCACGCCGCCAACGGCGTGCCCAGGGCACGAGCGTGGTTGCCGCGTGGTCATCCGCCGGGGCCGCGCCGAGGGCGCCGAACGAGGGCAGGCGGGCTCCTCTGCCCTCCGCCGCCTGCTTTGCAAGGCCCCAGGGATACGTGTCTGCCCAAGATAAACCGCCATAAAATAAGCCTACTAGGGTGTCTAGCATGTGCAGTAAGAAGCCCTACCGCCCAAAAGCCCGCGCCGCCCGAGGAAATAAGCGCCGCGTCGCAGGATGGTTTCAGAGCATTGCACAATAGAAACCTACCAAAAGATAGCCTCCTAAGAAATGACTGAAAAGGAAGGGCCCCAGCCGGAGTGTCTAAGCATGCGCAATAGAACCCTAGCCGCCAGAGCGTCTACTGTGGATGGCCGGTGTATGGAAATTAAGCCTGATTGCCTGGGGGAGCGGTGCTATGAAAAATCAGCCCTAGTGATGGCGTGGCTATGAAAATGCGAGCCAGATGGCGTGGCTATGAAAATCAGCCTAGTGGTGGCGCTGGCTATGAAAATGACCCCTAGTTGACGGGCGGGCTGGCAGGCATCTGCACACATGCAGTTGTCGTGGAGCGGAAAGAACACGGCAGCCCCTCTCATTGCCCGGAGCTCTAATGCTCCCACAGGAGAATCGGGGGCAGTGGTCTACAGGACAAATAGTTGCAAAGACATGTCAGGATGGGATCAGGGGTGTGGTGACGAGAGTGATGAGGATGTTTCCACAAAGAAGACAACCTGTTACTAGATTTGAATCAATGTAGATGGTTGTACCGCAGTTAACAAAAATACACCAACCCGAAAATAAGCCCTTTTGGTGTCTTCTGGAAGAAAACTAAATATTAAAACCCCTGGTCTTATTTTGGGGAAACACGGCAGCTTCAGAGCCTGGTGGGTCTACCCAGAGCCTACAGACGGGGCTGTTCAAAAACCAGCAGGACTTAGAGACGTGCCCAGAAAGGACGATCAACACCAGAAAGCTTTTGGCAGGTGAGAGCTGGGGCAGGGCGAACCCTGGAGAGCCGGATTCCCACCCTTCCGCCTTTGACATCCTCCCCGACAGTGCCCAGAACACTCTACAGGCAGGGGAAGGAGCAAATCTAGACTATTCTACTCAGGGAGGTCCCAGGGGGAAGGCAGCAGGCTGCGTGCACGTCTTTGCTCCAATGCTACCTCCTGAGCGGGGTCTTCCCCAAAATTTACCTTAACTTGCAGCCTCCCCACATGCCAGTGCCTCCTGGCTCCATTCCCTGCTGTATTATTATTATTTTTTTTCCTATTTTGCTGATTAGATTTATCGTTCAGCTTCCTCCCCTAAGAACATAACCCCTTAGAAGGGCAAGACCAAGCCTTGACGTCTTTTGTTCGGTGCTGTCATGTCCAAGCCCTGGAATCGAGCCTGGCTCATAGTAAGCGCTCAATAAAAACGATCGTCGAGTGACTAAACGAACGGCAGGACTCAGGAGCCATGCCACTTCACAATGCCTGAATCCACGCTCACCTGTTCGCAAATCGCCCCTGTCATGGTGACCGGGAAGGGCCTGACGTTCCCCCGGCCCAGGTTCTCGCGCTTCCTCTGGTTGCTGAACAGCTTCAGCTCCCGCTTCTCTTCCTCGTCCAAAGAGTTGCAGTAGCGAACCTGGGCAGACACGGAGGAGAAGGGCATGCAGGGAGTCGCCCGCGCTCTGAGCTTTCTCGCTAAGCACACTCCCATTGGCTTTTTCGTATAGCCTTGGCCTGAACTTGAACTTAAACTTGAGGCTCACAGCCTCTGTTCTCATGTCTCACTTTGGAAAAAAATAGGGAAACAAAGGCAAGAGCCTGAGGAGTGGGCCCAGAGGCACGTGCGGGGCTGCACAGAAGTCCCTGTGTGTTTTCTGGGTGCGACAGGGCAAAGAGGCTGCCCGCCGAGCCCTGGCTGAGCCGACCCCAAGCAAAAGATATTTTCCTTCTTGTTAAACACAGAAACCCTCAGAATATCGGTGGGGAACACCAAAGACATTTCAATCCAGTATTTTCCATTCTCTCATTTATTTATGCGCACCTTGGAAATTCTGCTATAGTCTCCAACTATTATTTACTGAACGCTGTTTTTAATACTGACTCACTTTTTTTTTTTGGAAACTTGAATGCATTTATTTAAAAAGAAAGTATATCATGACTATAAATGGAAAACCAACTTCACCTGCAGAAAAACAGAAGGTTGCTATACAACCAAGCAGAGCGAGAAGGAAACCAGGCTCTTAGATTCTAGCTGGCCCCTCTGCGTGTAGGAGGTTCCCCGATGTCCTGCTTAAGCGTGGAGACTAGCATGAGTTAGATAATGGGGGACTCCCGCTAGCACGAGGCTGAAATTTCCTCCTTGGTTATTCCAACACTCTCTCACAAGGAGTGAAATACCATTTAAAAGGGAGTAGGCCGGGCTCGGTGGCTCCTGTCTGTAATCCTAGCACTCTGGGAGGCCGAGGCGGGAGGATCGCTCAAGGCAGGCATCCTCAAACTGCAGCCAGCAGGCCACCTGCGGCCCAATGAGGACATTTATCCTGCCCTCCACGCTGCCTGTCCTGCTTAGCAGCCGACTGGTCCCGGGCCCCCAGTGCGCATGTGTGGAATGTGCACCGCATTCTCCAACGGTCTGAGGGACAGTGAACCAGCCCCCTGTTTACAAAGTTTGAGGACCCCTGCCTCAAGGTCAGGAGTTCGAAACCAGCCTGAGCAAGAGCGAGACCCCGTCTCTACTATAGATAGAAAGAAATCAGCCAAACAACTAAAAATAGAAAAAAATTAATCGGCCAACGAAAAATATATATATAGAGAGAAAAAATTAGCAGGGCATGGTGGCGCATGCCTGTAGTCCCAGCTACTCGGGAGGCTGAGGCAGGAGGATCGTTTGAGCCCAGGAGTTTGAGGTTGCTGTGAGCGAGGCTGACGCCACGGCACTCACTCTAGCCCCAGGCAACAGAGTGAGACTCTGTCTCAAAAGAATAAAACAATAAAAATAAAAAAAATTAAAGGGAGCAACTCTCTCACGACGTGGTTTGACTTTAGTTTCTGCCATGTCCCTGTCTCACTCAAAGTCACATATATCCCACACTTCGGGAAACCTGGTCCTAATTCCACCTCCCGTCTCACTCTGGAGCACTCTGGATGCCAGAAAGGGTAACTGAGTTGCTCAGATAATTTGTCACTCAGATGGTTAGGGGCGGACCTCAGAAACCAGCGCCAGCTGTATATATCAACATCGCCGTATCTGGGTGAAAAAGGGGGTGGTCAAATATTTGCTTTAGAATCACAATCGCCCTTTGTACTCAAAAGGGCCATCGAAAATGATCAAATCTGCCCGCTGGGTCACACGTGCTGAATTCCCACCAATAATAAGCTGAAATTCGAATGCTGTCTCTTTTTATGAAAACTCCAGTTAAAACCAGAAGCAGAACAAACCACTAGAGGCAGGGAAGAGCCAATCACTTCCCTGTAGGAAAAAAAAAAAGAAAGAAAGAAAAAAAAAAAGGTCTTCATGTAAATAAATGTCCCAGAGGGAGAACTGCAGGGACCTCAATATCCCAGGATATTTGGTCATGCCACTGCCATTTTATGAACAGATTTTCAAAGGCGGGCACACCCCTCCTTGCTTGTAAAAACCCGCATTTTTCACTTCCAAATGAGATACCTGGGCATTAGGTTACAACGCCCGGCTTGCTCTCAGGTTTAAAGGAGAAAGCATTATTTATGTTTGTTGTACGAAGCCTGAAATGAGCAAGAGGGCAGGAGAGAGAATCAGAGCTTTCTTCGAGGGATTTGCTTTACGTTTTTGTCCCACTTACCCAAATGTATTTTCGAGGCTCTCAAATGATCCCCTTTTATTAAAATATGGAAAGAGTAAAAAAATAAAAAAATTAAAAAAAAACCACTCATCTCCCTTGGGATTGAGCTGATGGGATCCAGTTTGGAGATTGGAGTTGGTAGAAAGTTGGTGTCCAGCTCTCAAAAGCGGTTATTTCTCCTTTCAATGTAAAATCACACATTTTTGTTTTAAATGCAATCAAAGCAGACAGTTTAATTCCACCTTAAAAATCACCTGATGAGTAAAAATTAATTCCCAGTTTGTAAGCCTAATCCCTTCCGGCGTGGTGGCCTTTGAAAAGCATGTTCACAAATTTCCCTTTACGATCAATTTGGTTTCCAAGGTAGAAATGCCGGCTGACTGGGCCACGTTTCTGGGTTCAGAGAAAAAGGACATTTTTGCTGGCCACACCTTCAAACAGTGCAAACGACAAGCCGGACTTTACCATGACAAGAACACACGTGTTCAGAGTTTTGCGTCTGCACGTGTAACTTCTACTGCAAGCAATGGGGAAAACCTGCACGCTCATTTAATATGAAATGACGCTGAAAATTCAAGAGGGTTGAATTTTTTTTTTCCCCTTCCCCCCCCCCCTTTTTTTTTGCAGGGCCTGGAGAAATTTCGATCATCTCTCTAACATATATGCGGGCAGCCCTCGTGGCAGGCACATTCTCCATCAAGGAAGAAAACTTGGACTTGAACTTGTTGTCAATTTCAGTGCTCCCTGGTGACCCCCCAAATAGCAAAGAGGTTTTTGGTCCAGGTCATAACGAGACTCTGCTTTTTCTGCAGAACTTTCTAGAAGCGAGGAGTTGGCCAGTTTCTTCTGGCTCTAATTAAGGAAGCTAAAAACCTAAAATAAATTGCCAGGCTTTTTTTTTTTTTTTTTTTGCTGGCACTCTCGTGGAGCACACAGCCCTCTGACTATGAAAAAGGTGACAATCTGCAGAAGGTTTCTGAAAGAAAGAAGTCTTCGTGAGCCCCCGGCCGGGTCCCTTACCTCATTGTCATGGGGCGGGAGTTGGTGCAGCAGCTGCTTGATTCTCAGCTTCTCTCCGGGGCTGTTGACGTAAGGTACTTTCTCTTCGGGGAGACAGCTGTAGTACTGGTGAACCTGGGGGCCGAAAGCACCCGGGTCACTTGCCTGTCACTCAAACCACGCAGGTCCCCCCATCCCAGCAGGGTGCAAACGCCTCCTGCAGCCCCGGCCCCTCCTGAAACTCCAAAGCAGAGGAGATCCTTACAGCACGCAGAGAAATTCATCCCTAAAGAAAGACCCAAGCAAATCCCCCGTGTCTTGCATTTTTCCCTCTCTCTCTGCAAGGGAAAAATAAAGCCTCTCTTGCATTTTCCTAGAAAAAGAGAATCCAGCGAACACTCTGGCGAACCCGGAGGGGACGGCTTTCTTGCAGACTCCCCCGAGAGCTGGCTTTTTACCATTTTCTCTCTCTTGGTCTCCGGCGTGCAACATGCCTCGCTCGCCAACGGGATAAGTCAGCGCCTGCCCCCGAGATGCCAGTCTTTGGCATCTGGCAAATTCCCGGGCACCTGAGCCTCCACCTCCGCCAAAAGCCCTCCGGGTGTGGAGCCAGGTGTGAGGCATGCCAGCGGCTGACAGCCGTCAGAAATAAACTCAGTAAATCTGGGACGCAGAGCGTGTCCTGAAACATTGCCATGAACACGAGGACTCGTGCACGTTCTAGAACCTTCCTGCTGACACCACGGTTAAGACGTGTTCCTGTACCGTATGGGGCTCGCTCAACCCTGACATCAACGGGGGAGAGCAGGAAGCACCTCACGTTGCCCGAGAAAAGAAGACAAACATTCTATCATCCATCTATGCACAAAACTAGAGGAAGAAAAAAAAATGAACCAAAACAGAAGGTGTGCGCTATCATATAGGAGAGCCAAAAAATTAAAAAAAAAATTGCACAAGCTTGATGACATCATGGAAAATACTTCCAAGTATCTTACTTAGCATCATGGCCAACTCTTGCAAAACAAGGCACATTTATTCGACCGAATGGAGATCTGCAGACTGGGGGTCCCCAAATCCACCACGCTGGTTACACTCCACAAATGCTGTTGAATTCCTGTGCATTTGGGGACGCCTGGATAGGCACACATGTTTTGGGGGCGCTGGGTGAAGGGTCGCGACGCTCCGTCTAGTTATCTCTAGAAAACTAAGTCTTAAGTGTCGCTTTTTTTACGAGCGAAGGGGGGAAGGCTCTGCGGTGTTTGTTTTTGAAACATGCGTAAGGCCGTCCTTATTTTCATAACTAAGATGGGCAAGCACCCGCCATCTGAGCGCCATCTGGCATCCTTTTTCGTCGACCTAAAGGCGACCGGCCGACAGAGATGCCTGTCTGGACTCTCAGGCTCCCCGAGTTTTTATCCTCTAGCCCACCTGGCAGACATCCACGCCCCGGATGGGGACGGAAGGGACGGGCTCTGGTTTTTGGAGGGGCCGCCCGCACATCGCCAAGCTCTCTCTGGAAGAAAATAAAGCTTTTTGTCTGTAAGTGAGGTTGGGATTGGAAGCCGGCAACTGTCCCATCAGAGGACGTAGAGGTCACCTCTCTGTCCCCAGCGGCGGGGTGGGGGCGGTCGCCGTACCTTACGTCTCGTATGGAAGCTCTTTGTTGTTTTTTTGTTATATATTTTGGGCCTCTGTCTGGGAAGACTGCTGGGAGGCACGCCCTGGTTCCATTGTCACCTGTCATTCTTCCGTCGAGTCCGTCCTAGTCACAGAACGGAGGACCTTGGCTAATAGGAGACAGTCACTGCATGGATGTTGATGACGTAGGGCCTACCTGAGCGTCGACTCGGGCTCCCTCGGTACGCCTGCCGTGGCTCACCACGCCCCTCTGCCCACTGTCCCCGAGGCCCTTTCTGGAATTGGTGGCTCGACCCAAGGCCTCTTCCGGTGAGGTGCCCACGGACGGTGGAGCCTTCCCTGCACCCGCCAACCCAGCCTGGCCAGGTAGATCCCGCCCCCCACCACACCTGGCCCTGCCATTTCCCATCTCTAGGCTCCCCGGCAAGTTCCAGAACTTTCCAGAAGGTTCGCCAGGAGGTGGCGGCCATCAAATGGGAGTGTACTCAAAGCACGGGGTCCTCGGCGACCGTGAGCGACACGGATACAAGAACGGTAACTGCATGACCCGGTCAGGCCCGTCCCACCCAATGGAAAGATCTAGATGCTTCCTGGCCTTCCTCCCATTTCGAGATGTGCGGCGGCACCGTTGGCTCTGAGAGAGAGAGACGCAGCCTGGGAGCTGCCTGTCGGGTTAGTCTACGCAAGAAAAATACAGGTTGCAAGGAATATATATATATATATATATCGGGTTAGTCTACGCAAGAAAAATACAGGTTGCAAGGAATATATGTATATATATATATAATGCTATCACACAGCTAGTTTGATTTCAGGGGGGGATAGGCGGAAGATCGTTGTGAGGGCATGGTGTCTTCTTGAGAAATCCCGCAGGGCGTGTGATGGGGCCGCACGTGGAACCTGCCCCTGGAAGGTGACCACGCCGCGCTTCTCCTGCTCTGAGCCCAGCTGCAGGGACGGAGAACTCTACGGCTAGCTCGGAGCCAACGTGCTCCTTGGTGTGTGGCTGGGGTCCGTCCCCGAGACTCTGGATTCTTAAGTCAACGGAGGCAGTGACTGCTCTTTGGGGACGTGGCTCTGTCTTGCCTGGACATCCCTTGTCACCTTTTATAATTCAGTAATACGGACCGCCAGTGACAAACGATCCTCTCTCCTGGCATGCCAACAATCCTTCGCGACCTCCAGTCCTCTTCCAAGCCTGTTCCCGTCCAGGCGAAAAAGTGACCCCTCTCACGCTGGCTTTGTGTCTCCTCCTAGCGCTCAGGAGCTTGGGCTTGCCAAGTGTTTTCTGGAGCAAAGGGGAGGAACAGATGGAGGACGGGCCGGGAGAAGCAGGTCTCCCGAACTTTCTGGCTGGAGGCGACAATGCCACACGCATTTTCCATTGCCATCCTCCATCATAACCGACAGTACAGCCCCAAGACAAACACCAACCGAACCAGCGGTGGTAGCAGGAAAATATTGAGTATATTTTCTTGGCACTAAAAAAAAAAAAAATCAAAGTTGGCACTATCCCCGAAAATCCCTGCAGATTGCTCGTTTTAGCCCCAACGTGTTTCACTTGCTCCTTTTTTGGGAGGAAATAATCAAATCAAATAGAATTTTGCCAACGATGGTCGTTACCTAGCTATGACCCAGTATCTGGATGATTTTATTTTTCTTCCTGTGTGTGTTGATCGAGCTCATTTCCTCAGCAGTAGGGTCTGTTGGATATGTTGGAAACTCTGCTCCAGTTAGACATTTCCAGGTAAAGGAGTCCCTGTGATTCTGCCCTGGGTGAAGTCAGACTGGCTGCACCTTCCTTGCACAAAAAGCATTTCCAACACAATAAACTGGTTTATGCAAATGAAATAGCTGAAGGCCTTCAGGTAAGCGTGAGTCACCAGCAGGGAGGCTTGGCAGGGACTTCCGTCTGCATCTCAAGGATGGGGAGAGCTTTAGTCATTGTGCAAGCAAAGTCTACAAAGCAAAGCCTATATGGGAAGACTGGGCTTGTCAGAGGGAACCGCACATTTGATCAGATTTCTGCCCGGACAGGGAGAGAGAGGCCAGGGAGAGATAATGACTCTGCATTTGGAAGAAAAGCATGCTAAAAATAATAATAATAATTTTAAAAAAGTATGCTAATTAAAGCAGGGTGCAGAGAACTTCATTTAGAATGGTGGTGGTTCTCAATGGTTTGCATTAGAGTCATCTGGAAGGGGGTGGGTTCACGCCTGTCATCCTAGCACTCTGGGAGGCCGAGGTGGGAGGATCGCTTAAGGTCAGGAGTTCGAGACCAGCCTGAGCAAGAGCGAGACCCCCCCCCCCGCCCCGTCTCTACTAAAAATAGAAAGAAATTAATTGGCCAACTAAAAAATATATATATATATATAGAAAAAATGAGCCGGGCATGGTGGCGCATGCCTGTAGTCCCAGCTACTCGGGAGGCTGAGGCAGGAGGATCGCTTGAGGCCAGGAGTTGGAGGTTGCTGTGAGTGAGGCTGACGCCACGGCACTCTAGCCCCCCCCCAAAAGAGAATCATCTGGAAGGTTAAAACACAGATTTCTAATCCAGTAGGCCTGGGGCGTGGCCCTGTAATTTACACTTCTAACCCCTCCTCAGGCCCTGCGGTTGGTCTGGGGACCACACTTGTGGGTTTCACGGCCATCCGAGACCGGGTCCCCTCAACCACCCACCCCACGTGGTCACAGGGCAAAGGACAAGAGTCTTATTCTCTCCAGGAGGAAGAAAGCACAGAAAGCACAGAAGGTCCGGGAAGCGCAGACAAGGGGAGAGGACTTGGTGGACCTCACCCAATTTTTTAGTTGCCTCTAGATATTCCATTAAGAAGATTCTTTTTTTTTTTTTTTTCCACCCTGCCCAATATGATCTGTAGGATTTAAGCAGAAGATTCCACCAGCTACAACAACAACAACAAAAAAACCCCAAGAAATCCTACGGGCAAAAGTGCTCACGTTTCTGGGTAGGAGCATTTTTCCAAGTGTAAAAAGCATCCTTATTTTTCTTGGAGCAGGAAGCCAAAAAAAAGAGAGAAGGCAGACTTTCTTGACCGATGTCAGAATCGATTGTTACTCACCGGGGAAATGAAGGCAGGGATCGATGAACGATTTATTTGCGGAGTGAGCCTAAGGCCTGAAGGGTTTTTTTATACAGTATTTCATGAACCGTCCCCACCCCCTGGATGCCGGCATTCAGGCTCATCAGATCGGATTAGCGCACGCTTAGTGAGCCGTAGAGCCGCCTGTGAACCTGGCTCCCTCTTCCGCCCTCTCTCTGTTCCCCGTGGATTCTTGGCCTTCTTCATCAAGGAGGGAGAGAGAGAGAGACAGAGAGGAGAGAGAGAAAGAGAGAGAGAAGAGAGAGGAGAGAGAGAGAAAGAAATAGAAGAGAGAGAGGAGAGAGACAGACAGAGAGAGAGAGGAGAGAGAGGAGAGAGAGGAGAGAGAAGACAGAGAGGGAGAGAGAGACAGAGAGAGAGAAAGAAAGAGAAGAG